GTAGTAGTAATTCGGTGAGCACTGCCGATCCCCACGTACTAATGACAAAAATGGAAAGCAGTATATAATTATACTGCTTTCCATTTTTAGCAGGAAGTTTAAGTTCTACACTCATTTCGTTGTATTTTCTTTTCTTCTATTCCCTGATTCAGGACAATACAATGTTTCTTCTTCATCATCACAGGCAGTGAGGCATTCCATCTTAGTCCTCAGAGGTGACAACAAATCTGTAGCCTCTTTATTTATCTGAAATTATTGCCTCCATAAGCTGCAAAAGCCATCACTTATCAGCTAGACTCTAAGTTCATATACCACTTCAATTTTATTAAAATTAATCTTAAGTTGTCCATTTTTCTCCTACCTCGTGGGGCTAATGGTCGTAAATACGAATGCGATCCCGGGTACGAATCATGGGTCGCGACAAAACAGGCTTTAGTTTCAAGAAATTTTAGTGATGTGTCGAAGTCAGGAAGTTAGCGGAGTTTCAACCCCGTGGCTCGGAAAGCACATAAATCCGTCGATCCTGCGCCTTATCGCACTCCGGTCGAATAGTCGTTACATCGGAGCACGAGAGTAAGGGAATACTACATTTGTATACTATAAGCCTAACATGCTCAGGTGACTAGTCTTCGCTTAGACTAACATGAATGAAAGTCGGTTTGGAGGACATTACTGATTCCTGTCAAGCGCAGTTTTTTATTTTTTAAGTTATCATTTGTTGTTTCAATTCTCTCTGTCAATACTTACGATACCCATGAAATGATACGGGGAAGTGGAATCTCTTACACCATCACCACATCGTACAAACTTTTTAGTAAAATACGATTAATTTGTGCTAACAACGTCATTACTTAACATGGTTCCATTTTCCTATAATTACTGTGCTTTGCCGTTGTCGACTCTTCAAATTATATCTAAATGGCATTAAGAAAATAATGTGCAATCTAAAAGCAACGGTACGTTATTCAGAGGGTCTTTGCTTTCCCTTTCCCTCACACTATAGGCGTATGTCCTCATCTCGAAACGTCACTTTCACTTTATTGAATGACCATTGAGATGTACTAACTACACAAAAGAGTACTATGGTTTTGTTAGAAAGCTCGAACTCAATAGATTTGACAGACAATAATATAATATTTATTTCAATACTCGCTTTCGTTTAGAGAAACTACATACAATTACTCATATATCAAAAAACAATAATTTATTAGTCATTAAGTGTCAACTCTGGGTTGACTATATCAAGAAGACACATGATAGTTATACGGGTAACTTATAATAATATTTTTAGACTTCTAGTGGGATTTAATCGCTATTTATACGCTTCTGAAATGTACGTGAAAACGCGGGTTGACTCTTTTGATGCAATCCATCGAAAGAGGATGGACTATGGACCAGTGGATTGACCAGTTTAACAACGCTTCTGTGCGTAGTTTGGCAGATAGGCAGGTACGACTTGCAACGTACAGACGATGGGTGAAAATTGCTGGGTGATGATAGACTTATGGAAATATTGCAACATATTTATTCTTACTATACTATATTATTTGTCTTGTAAATATGGATCTCTGTGTTTGCAAAAAATGATTACTATTGTTATTATTATTACTCATACCTAAGCAACATCTGTATTTTTCTGAGGTATTTTTAACATGCTGTTTTAATTTTTAAAATCTATTTTATTACATTTTCACTACGTGCAAAGTTCTTCTGCCACAGCACAAAGTACTTCATCCGCCGGGTTTTGTCCTTTTTTAGTAGTCTAAATATAGATCATTGAAAATTTAAACAAAACACAAATGAGTTGACAGTCTACTAGCCACACACTATGACTATGCGGTCAAAATACATTCGTAATCACATTCGTAATCACATTCAAAATAAGAAAATTAAGAACAAGACGTCCTCAAAGCTATATTTTTTCTTTTTAAAACTCTAGGGCACTTTGTTAATCATTATGTATATCAGGACTCCCGCACAACACCTCAGGGAGGAGGGAGCGGCTGAAAAACAGCTCTGTATGAGATCTGTATCTCGTTACAGACAAAGCTGAGCCGTCTCCTTTTGTCTCAAATAATTATAATGTTCTTTTGTTTTAACGTGAATGTAACTGTGTGTTTTAGAGGCAATAAATTTCTTATTATTATTATTATGTATATTTCATTTCTAGATGTACCAACAGTCAAATTGGCATCGCTGAAGGGACTTTAGCACCGTCCAAATTTCGACGGAATCAAAGGCTTTCTTATAGTCCACAATACGCCAGGCAAAGTGGCAGATTGTACTCTTCGGTCTTCTTAACAATCTGCCGCAGGGAATGTATGTGGTTTATGGTACTGAAGCCTTTTCAGAAACCGGCTTATTCGGGAGGCTGGAAGTCGATACTCAGTACGAGACGATTAGTGATGACTCACGAAAATAGCACTTAGACACGGCTCAGTAGGGTAATTGGTCCATAGTTCTTCAAGAGAGCGTTGTCGCCTTTCTTGAAAAATAAGAACACCGCACTTCTGCTTCACATCTCCGGAGTAGTTCCACCATGGAAGACGGAATTAACCAGCTTCTCGGAGCAGACTTTAAGTACTAGTTTTCAACCTACTTTCAGAATCTCCGCTGTCATTCCACCCTTACCAGTTTTAGCCGTTTTTAAGGTTGTACAACTACCAGTAGAACCTCTCAATCTCAATCAAAATCTCAGCTGTCCCGGAAACTATGCTGCCAAATTCGGTCTTCAGCTTTAATAGTTGGCTCTTTCTAGCAAACAGATCTCTGGCAAAGTCTTTCGACCCTTGGTTTCGCTCGATCGCTACTCTTCATCTCGGATAATCTTATATTATATAACTACTAGACCAAGTTACGGGAATCTGAACCGATTTTGAAACACTTTTTCCAATCTGCCTCTGACACCTCTTGTACGGCCTGATCTCTCTCCCCCTCTCTCTCTCTCTCTCTTATATATATATATATGAGGGAGACTTATATTTATCGTTGAACTTTCGATCGGCTCTAATGATGGATAAAAAAATTCGGTTTCGAAAATACTACTTAAATTAACGAAATGCAAACGGCCTGGAATAATTTACTGATATCGTTTTTTTATTGTTAACAACAACGATCTGACTGGATGGAATGGTTTCTTTTTATACTCTGAAGTCTTTTTTTATAGGATAAGGTTGATATACGAGTACACAGTCGACCTGATGATAAGTGGATGCTGTGCCCCATAGACGTCTATATCAATCCTGGACTACGAATTAAAATGCAGATGTGTTGTCACCCATGAGGACTAAGATGGAATGCCTCGTTTCTAGTAAAAAGGGTCTCCGGTTCTCCACACGCACCATACGAAATACAGCAGTGTAGATTTATTTTAAGCTAGTATTTCCTGGGAAAGCCGACCCATTCGTGCTAAAACTATACTATTATTATAGCTGCAGCGTGGCTTTACCACGTAAAAAGTCTGTTTGGAATAGAATTAAGGCTTTGTTTCGTTTAGAAGGAAGAGGAAGCTAATTAAACGACATACACACTATGAGCAATTATGTGAACATCAATACATTAAGTAAATTGTAATAAAGTTATTCTATCCAGTTTGAACAGTGATGATGTCGATAATGCGCAGATGCAATGAAAATGAAAAATTAAATATTTTGTTCGCTCGCCCAGCCTAAACCTTCTTTTTTTACGCTGGTTGACCACTCGGTTGACAAAATTCCAGCAGGGATTCAAGACTTCTAGCTCCAAAGAGTAAAATTAAGATTTGCTTAAAAATCTCTCTAAATAAAAATCAATTGCTCGCCGTTAGCTTCGCTAAATCTCAAAAACGGATCGACCGATTTTGATGAAATTTTTTGTGTGTGTTTGAATGGGTCTTTAGATGATTTAGATTCACAATTTGACCCCGTAGGTGGCCGGGGTGGATTGCAGTATTGAATTAAAATATTTTATTTTATTGTTGCAGATAACTTCACTTCGATCGTAATAACAGTATGGCGACAAAATTAGTAAACACGACACAAAATGTGTTAAAAGACACTTATGACTATTATTTGTGGACACTGTCACTTTCAGGTAAAATAGAAAATTAATAATACTTAATTTAAACTTATATTTTTTATAAAATTAATGTAAGGAACGAATTTATTGTGCACCTGATGGTAAGTGACTACTAAAGCACAAAGCACATACTCGTAGACACATGCATCCAACTTCAAGACAAAGAAGGTTACAAAAATGTGTATTCAACTTCTTTTTATAGGATAAAAGTGACAAACGAGCACACGGTCTACCTGATGTTAAGTGGTTGCTGTTATCCATAGACATCTACATCTATCCTCCCTTCCCTCCCCGGTCGAGCCAACCCATTCCAGTAATATAGCTGCAGCGTGGCTCTACCACGTAAATTCCAAAGATTTACTGGAATACCAAGTTAGCGTGGTCTTGATTTGATGGAAAGATTTTGATTTTAAATCGAGGACAGATTGAGATGTTTATGGGTCACGGAACTCATTCACCACCAGAGGTGACGAAACACCTGTATTTTGTTTTAAGTTGGACTGTAAGTGTCTGTAGGCCAAAGCACCTACTATAACATGAACTTTTTCATTTATCTTTCAAATAGTCTCTATATATAAAAATCAATTGCTGTCCGTGTCTCGCAAAAACTCGAAATTGGTTATATATATATATATATATATATATATATATATATATATATATATATATATATATATATATATATCTAATTAAGATTTTTTTTTCACAATTTCCGTCTAATCTCATCTTTTAGAATAACATGGTTCGAGTCGGAGGTCCAGAATTATAATTTAGATGCCCTCGAAAATTATAATTTGGATGTCGGTGCACTTATCAATCAGTAAACAATTCTCTGTTAAGTATATATTTCTGTCCTGTTGATTTGTTTTTCTTTTCCAACAGATGATAGAACAAAAGGATGGCCACTAGTCGATTCTCCAACACCTACAGTTTTCTACACACTAATGTACCTCTTCATAGTTTGGGTCGGACCAAAGATAATGAAAAACCGACAGCCATTCAAACTAACATGGCTGTTAGTACCATACAATCTGACAATGGCGGCGCTCAACGCCTACATAGCAATTAGGTTATTAACAGCGTCGTTTAGATTGAGATACAGTTATATATGTGAGCCCTGTCGGCAAAAATACGATCCGGATGAATTGCAAGTAAGTAATTGATAATTTATGACGTCTAGCATATGTTTAACGCTCATGTAATTAAATATACTTTAAATAAGTAATTAGATCGAGTAGAGTTATATTATTGAAAAATAATTTTGAGACACTTGTGTAAGTCCATTTTTTATTTAAAAAAATATTTAATATAAGTAGATTTTTGGGATTTACTATATTATTTCAACACGTCAACCCAAGGTTGACAGGGAGAGAATGCCAAAAGGCATTAAATCCGCTATCCGAGTTCCTTTTTAATAAGGTGTTTAACAGTTAAGTATAAATAACTATCGCTTAAATTTAATTTTTAAATTTTTTAAAAAACTTTACTAGTGACTTGTGTATCATTTTTTCTTATTTTGTGTATTTTGTTGTATATGTATATTGTATTGTTAGATTATAACACCATCTTTCGGAGGCTACCTACTATATACGAGTATATACATTAACATACATATTCTGCAATATCCCATAATTGACGTATGGTCGCGAAAATTGACACAAAGCTCATTCCTGAGCCGAGTGCATGCCATGTTTCCCTGCATATTTCATAAGGTCTTATCTCTATTAAGTAAGGGTCAGGCTACCACTAGTGAAACATTTTACCCATCTATTGTCGGTTCTTCGATGTATATGGGTGACCCATTACCAATTATCTATACTAAATTAGTACGTTATGACAGATATTCCCAGTTTTTCTAATAATACTCTCTCGTTACGGATCATTTCAATATTCACGCAGGGTAAATAAGAAGTAAAGTTAAAAAGTTAAAGTTACAGCCTACGTACGTCTCACTGCTGGGCACAGGCCTTGTTTAGTCTCACGTATTTATTAAATTTGCGGTTTAGTTTCACAAGCGTTGCTCGCGTACTGTGAAATTTGCAGCGAGCGCTAACCATCTAAGTTGCCACAGTTTCTAATAAGTAGTTAAGTTGTTTTAATTAAAATGTAAGGTAGCGTTACAGCTTATTCCCACATATTACTTCTCCCATTTATAAGGAAGTTATGGAACGTGTCGCAATATTTGATTGCTCAGATATGCAGTTATTCTCGTATTTTATCTTATCGCCAAGCACATAGTTTCAATTGAAATTAGCAATGTCATTGGTGCAAGCTGGGTTCGAGCCCTGGTTGCTCGTAAACTGTGAAATTCACGACGAGCGTTTAGGCTAGGCCAAGAGCTACGGATATGTATTTTATATATATATATATATATGTCGAATTTTATAAACGTGACCACACATACCAATACCAAGATACATATTATATCAACAATTGAATAAATGATATACTTTTATCGTTTGATCTTTAGATCGCAGACGCAGTTTGGTGGTATTACTTCTCGAAGCTTCTAGAATTTTGTGACACGTTCTTCTTTATTCTACGAAAGAAAGATGAACAGCTGACGTTTTTACATGTGTATCATCATTCAACCATGTTCAGTTTCTGGTGGATCGGTATTAAGTGGGTGCCCAGTGGATCAAGTAAGTTTTTATGTAGAATTTTTAATTTTAAAATTTAATCGCGTAGTGAATTACCAGTGTCAATACGTATAATACATCTGTAGAAAAGTCGTGTCTGTAATTCTAATATTTCCTAAAAAAGCCCAGGGGACGTTTGTCACCCTTATTCTATAAAAAAGACATTAATGAAAGTTACCGTCACCGTTTCAGCCTTATAAAGTCCACTGCTGAACACAAGCCCCATAGCTTGCCTCATAGGGGAGATATTTGCCATAGTTGCCACGCTTGACAAGCGTGTTGACGACCGCGGTTTATTTTTTATTTTTAGTCGTTATTAGGAAATGTTATTAGGAACGCTTCCTGCTCATCTTCTGATAAGTTTCCCTCTGTGAATGATATTTTGCCACGGGATGGCAATTAAGCCTGGCCAAATTTATCGGTAGAGCATGCGACTGTTAATTACAGTTACATAATTATAATAATATTCGCCGTTTAGTGGCGTAACAGAATCCACTTCCCTATGTAATCTAGTAAATTTCATAAGAGGCGACAGAGGAAAACTGAACCAGTCGAAGGACAGCAGCATTTTCCAGATAACAACTCAAAATAATAAATTCTACGGTTGCCAACCTGCCTGCAAAGCGTGGCAACTATGGCAAATATCCCCTCTATGGTGAAGGTTATGCTCAGCAGTGAATTTAAATATGCTGGCTGTGATGAATAATACGACACGTGAGAGTAATATGGCCACCTTATGGTTTGCCACCCTATAAAACCAAAACCAGGGGTTGGACAGAGATGAAAGCACAAAGTCGTATACTCTAACTTATTAGTTAATATATTTACTTAGAATTAATATATTTATTAAGAAAAAAATATCAAACAAGCTTCGGCAGTATTAGGAACACTTCGAAAAATCAACTTATAAAAACTAACTACACTAAATCATGCTAAAATCGACTAAAAGGCTTACTATAATGTCAACTGTTAAAATAGCTTCGATAAAGCAGCGCCATTTTGAACCTTCATTATTTGATTGAATAATGAAGAGCTATCGTATCATACAGCCATCTATGCAAACAAGGCTGCAGTTTTTGAGTCATAAGAAATTGACCATAATAACCGGATGACCATAATATTACCCTGAAGTAAAAATTTTATAAACTGTCATAAGATAATAATTATAATAAATATAACCTGTAGATCATATCACTAACATATTTGTTTATTTTTTAGCATTCCTTCCTGCAATGGTGAACAGTGCTATTCATGTGCTGATGTATACATACTATGGTCTCTCCGTGTTCGGTCCGTCGGTCAGCAAATACCTATGGTGGAAAAAATACCTTACAATTTTGCAACTGGTACGTAAAACTCTTGTGAAGCCAATTGATTTTTATCAAATTATTTAATCATTTAATATTTATAATATAAATTATTGAATAGAAAATCATAAGCATGACACTAAATCAGTATTTAAACTATTTTTGCAATGATTCAAAAAATAAACTGTGTAAAATTTTAATCAAATGAAAAGGCTTACTAAATTTTAAATTTTAGGTTATATTGAGAGCACATCTTATAAAGTTGTTTTTAGTTTTTTCAAACGCTTCCGCTCCCTCACCCCGTTCCAAGATATCTACGAAGATGGACGTACTATAAATTATTTGTTCTAAAACTCTCCGCGCTTTAGTGTGTTCCGCTCGACATTTCCGGGAGTGAGGGAAAGTTTTCTTAGTATACATTGTATTACAAGACGGCCTTAATTCTGTTTAAAACATCAAATTTATTTTATTATTCCTCCCTAAGATACACTTTGCCTAATGCTGCCAAAAGTCTCACTAGATCGAAGAGAGTAACGTGTTATTTCAATCACAAAACTCACTTTATTTTGGGATATTCCCGGTGGTACTATTACATAAAAATAGATGAAACATTTTCATCAGTAGTACTAACCTATTTTAGTATATTTTTGTCGTAATTAACATCATCATTTCACCGTTTTTGGGCCTAATTTGACTGAAATTTGCTATTGGGTGATGCCATCCCTAAGGGGAAAATTGCGGATAAAATCTATTATAAAATTGTATATAAAATTGGTTTTCAATCAATCAATAAATATATTTTAATTGTAATTGTACACCAATGCACATTGAAGTGATAATAAAATAAAATAAATAGACGTGAATTGAAACAAAATTATATTAACTGGTAGAGGGATGCTACAGCTATATTACTGGTATAGTTGTAGCACGAATGGGTTGACTCGACCGGGGAAGGACCACGCACTCACAGAATACCAGCGTCAAATAGCAGCTTAACGCTACTGTTTCGTTTGGTGAGTGCAGAGAACTGGAGACCCTTTTTACTGGAAACGAGGCATTCTATCTTAGTCCTCATGGGTGACAACTCATCTACGTTTTGATTCGTTATCGAGGATAGATGTAGATGTCTATGGGTCACATCAACTACTTACCATCAGGTAGACTGTGCTCGTTTGCCACCCTTGTACTATAAAAAATGCAATAGGTAATTTTTTCAGACAAACATATTACGCAAAGAATTTTTCCCAACGAATGTATAGGTAGGAGGTGTACATAAATTATACAATAAAGTAAAAAAAAAAATAAAAACACAAAATGATGATAGTTGAGGTAAATAGGATAGATACAAAAAAGACGGGCACCTTTGAGGAAAATAGGGGCTGAGCTCGGTGAATATCTAGAGGTAAGAAGTTCTAAAAGTGTACAGGAAATTGTTCATTGAAGAAGGAAAGTGAATATATTGGAGTACGAAAGGAAATATTTTTAGAGCGGTATTCACGATTTGACAGTAGTCTAACTTAAATTCTGCGATCATTATCACTCCGAAATATGCGAAAGTTCTCATGTGATAGCTTGAGCTCAGAGCATGACTCTGACCCAGACTGGACGCAAAGCACCGCGCGGTGAAAAGCTAGTTGAGGTGTATACAACATGTATCAAAAACACTGTGGTTCCCGTTAAGTGCGTTATCAAAATCATTATTTAAACGACACCTATATTACTTCAGAAAACTCGACCATACAAAAATTAATTCAAATTGAAATAAATTTTTATTTGCAACTTGTCTGTAGTTTGATCATCTCTGACTGACACGCGAATCGGTTAAGCAGGGTATTTCACAGTAAAATGACATACAATGTGCAAATAAATACTTATTTAAACTTAATTTAATTTTTATACGTTTACTTCTATACGTTTGAATACAGGAACCACGGGTGCCACGGGGTTTTCGTAACATGTTGTAAATAAGAGTCGATCCATATTTGTGATAAACATATTATGCACATAACCATATGTATTTCCTAAATTTATATTAGTGGAGGTAGGGGCAAATTGTGAAAATCTTATCATTAATACACAACTTTATGCGTAGGTATGTAAATACTCTAAGTATAACAGCATACATATACTATATTCTTATTTATTTTTCTCGTATACCCAGAGGGTACCTCAGAGGGTTATGTTTTTGGTGTATATTTTTTTATTTGTGTGTGTTTGTTACTTCAAGGTTTCAGTGAACTCACTAAAACGGCTTGATGCTTTTTAACTGTTGTTAGGTTTTTCTTCATCTCCTGAAACCATAATTACATGTTGGGAATATTATACCAATGTGACACTCGAAAAAATAAAGCGGTTATTTTTAGTGCTTCTGATAAGTTCGTATCTTTGTTAATAAATCACCACAGTCGGGTTAAAATAATAGTTTGCTTATTTCTTTCAGATTCAATTCACCTGCGCACTTATCCTTGGTGTCAATGGCATTAGAACGGGCTGTGAATTTCCTTTGTGGATGCATTACGTGCTTATCATCTATATGATCTCTTTCATCGTGCTTTTTGGCAACTTCTATATGAAAGCTTACATTGCTAAGGTAAGAAATTTACTTATATTTCCTGTCTGTCGAAAAATAAGGAAATATTCTCTAGTACGAAAAAATATTCCACTTTTTACATAAAAATTATTTCTAAGCAAAAAGTATCTTGAAGTTTCTGTTAAATTGTAATTCTATTAAATGCAAGTAAACTTTAAGATACGGATAAATCAATTAAGATTTGTAATCGTCTAAAATGGAAACACGTGGAGTAAAACGCGTTACAAGATCTACAAATATTATTTTTACATTTAAATATTTTCGAAGTGCGCAATCCGTGATGCGGAACTTCATCACGTTAAGATTTCATCTGTAATGAACAGTGTTCGAATGCATGTAACTATAGGTTATGCCAACAGTTGTGTAATCGTAAGTTCCGAGTGAAAGCAAGTGACGGTGTAACTGGTTTGTAACAAGAGACATTACATCACGAAACCATTTTCCTTTCATATAATATTGAATACAATATCCGCACTGGTGTATCCAAATCAAGAGTAGCTCAGGTGTCAATCACAAGACCAGTTCTTATGTAAACATATATTGATTTCAAAAGTGCGAAAAGATATTTTTTTTACGCGTCATCCATTGACAACGATTAAGATTACATAATTATGCATGCATAAAACAAAATAAAACAATTCATAATTTACAATAGAATTATTTCTAAATTTTATTAAATTTCATAATATTAAATAAATTAAATTTTCAGATCAGTTTACGTACAAAATTCATAACATAATTCATTACGGACCCCTCAACGGGTGAAGGCCTCCTCCATTTTTTTTCACGTCTGTCTGTCCTTTGCCTTTGTGATCCAATTTTCACTGGCTTTTCTTATTATTTCATCAACCCTTGGCCCATTTCCATGTTTGTTTTTGAGAATGCTCCAAAGCATCTATTATTTTTGTTGTATTTCTTATGTCTGTGTTTATTTTTCTGTGTTTTCGTTGTATATTTAGTATATTCCTTTCCATTGCTCTTTGACATACTTGTATTTTGTTTATAGTGTTATTGTTGTATATCCATGTTTGGCAGCATTGTCCAAATAAGAACTTTTGGCAATGCTGCCAAACATTTTAAATTTATAAAGAAATTTATTTATAAAGAAATTTATAAAGATTTTTTTTTGACAAGATTATTCAGATTCATTGCTAAATATACCTCTTCTAGATTTACTATTAGGAAATATAATACTCTTAACTGATATGGCGAAGCGAGGTAAGATAGCTCATTTCGACGTGAGTGTCGTAAGAGGGAAATATAATAATTTAATTGCTAGAAAGATCTCATAACGGCATATATCATTTCATCACGTGGTAGAGCCACGTTGCAGCTTTGCAGTTAGGCTCGACCGAGGAAAACTCATGCTGTCACGGAATACTAGCTTAAATTAACAGCTTAATACTGCTGTGTTTCGTATGGTGAGTGTACTTTTTTATATATATATATATATATATATATAAGGGAAGCAGCGTCTAGTCTAAGGTGTGAGACGTATGTTACCGCGATCATTTATCCACCAACCATGCGGGATGATATGGCAATTCTTCCTTAAAACGAGAGGTGTCTATGTCCAGCAATGGGCTTCTCGAGCTGATGATGAAGAATAAGATACTGAAAGTACTGTCTGTCCCCAGTCTGTGAAATTTGTACAAGTTTTAGATATATAACTTGAGGGAAAGCAAGTTGATGGTTAACTTTTAATTACCGTGTCAAAGTTGTGTTGATGGTTTTTTTTTCAAATTACTATTTCATATTTTCTGTTTTTTTTTACAGGGAAGTAAATGCATGGAAGTGAGATACGGCCAATGTTTGGATGACGATGAAACGAGATCACATATGAAACTGAAAGATAATTGATTATATACTTTATTTATTTCAAGAATTAGTACAGTCACATATGTTGCTATTGTATATATGGCTGAAATTGATTTAAAGGTTTAATTTTAGAAATAAAGCTCTCTATGTAATTGTACATTGTTACAGATATAAACACAAAACTTAATTAGCTTATTTATTAAAACCATTAGTGAATAATGACAAAGAACTAGATAAAATAAACTACTTTTATTGTTGAATATACTATGATTATTATTTACCATATATTCTTAAAAATTATTAAATTATTTACTAAATAACAGGAACATAAAGTTTGAAAAGTGATTATTTCGCTGTCATCATCGCTTTACCTGAGGTTTCGCACCTGCAACATAATTTAAGTCTGGCCTAAACGACATAGATATACAATCATCTGAAGCAATGGAATCTCTTTTCATTTCTAATAGAAGTCTCCTATTACATTCAAAGGATGTGTTGTGCCGTCAAGCCCCCATGACAATAATATACTTGATGACCATTTTTACCCTCTGGAAAAAAAGTGTAACATGTCACCGAAGTAGAAGCTTATGGCACTTATATTTTACAAAAAATAAAAACCAACATTTTGAATTAAATAAATAATTAATTAAAATCTATCGAAATTCTAACCATTTCCACCCTACTATACCAACGGCAGTAAAACAACAAATTTACTTAACAACAAATTGGCTCAAAGGTAAAGGGAAAATAATAGTAAAAAAATTTTTCAAACGTTTAATCCAAAATTTTTGTTTTTATTTTTTGTATAATATCAGTACCATAGGCTTCTTTGAATAGTCACAGGCTCAAAGGTAAATTGAAAATAATTGTTGAATTTTTTTTTTCAAACGTTTAATTCAAAATTTTTGTTTTTATTTTTTGTATAATATCAGTGCCATAGGCTTCTAATCCGGTCACATGTTACATCCTATTTTTTCCAGACGGTAAAAAGTCATCCAGTATATTAGTGTTAAGTTTTAGAACAAAGGTAGTATAAATAAAGTCATAGACAGAACAACACGTCTTTTTTTTTCTTTTTTATAGGATAGGGTGACAATAGAGCGCACAGTCCACCTGATGGAAAGTGGTTGCTGTGGCCCATAGACATCTACATCTATCCTCGATTACGAATCAAAATGCAGATGCGTTGTCACCCGTGAGGACTAAGATGGAATGCCTCGTTTCCAGTAAAAAGGGTCTCCGGTTCTCTACACTCACCGTACGAAATACAGCAGCATCAAGCTACTATTTCACGCTGGTATTCTGTGAGAGCGTGGTCCTTCCCCGGTCGAGCCGACCCATTCGTGCTACAACTATACTACTAATATAACTGCAGCATGGCTCTACCACGTAAAATAAACGTCTCCTTGCTCATATTACATTGGGTGATTCAAAACCGTTCTATGTCAAACTTTTTGGAGGCTTATGTCAGGTATTCGATTTTTACAGGTTGCAGCTGCTGTTAATATTTATGCTGATGACGATGAATATAAAAAAGTAGTATTAAAGTAGAGCAACTTTCATTTTTTGATGATTTGTGTAATTTACATCAACAGATTCGTTTCTTAAACAATGACAGATTAGGGCCCTATGAAATATGAAATCTAGATTTTCTTGTAATTATTTTTAATTATCTCTTTTATTGACTCTTTATAATTTATTTATAATTGATCAAATTTCTAAGCCTGTAAAAATGAAATGGGAGAGGAAACTGAAACTGAGGTAAAAATGAATAAAAGAACTTTCATGTCAAACCTTCGTTTAATTAAAGATGTAATAGGTCTTGAATGTTTTAATCCTCTATTACAAAATTTTTAAACGTTTAAAAAATATGAAGTTCCATAATAACTTAAAACATATTCTACTACCTATAAGAAACTTCAGAAAAGAATTAGCTTTCTAGTAGATATACTAGAAAGGATTCTGATACATTCGTCAGTTGTTGCATAGTATGAGTTCCACAACTCATTCCGTAAGAATCGAATGATAATAGTATTTGATATTGTCATTCTATAGTCATCCTTCATCATCTGTTAGAATTAGAAGTAGAGCAGTCTATATATATATAATCTAACGATTTTATAAAATTATTGAATGTTTATTGTCCGCACGTAAGATGTTATTATAACTTGATTAAAAATTTGGTTTGAGTGTGTTTGCAAATAATAGACTAAAATTATTGAATAAAAATATCAAATATTTTTAATATATTATCATAAATTGTGGCATTTAATCCTCTTCGGTGGTGAACTTTACTGTAGATTTCGATAGTGGAAACTCGATTAACCGGACTAATTGTTGCCGTTAGGGATTCGGATAATCGAAAATCCGGATAATTGAATGTATGAAGAAAAGCGGGTTTTGTGCATTTGTAGTACATACATATATAATGTTATGTGTTTATTAAAAACAACAATATCAACGAAATTCAATGTTTATTAAGAAATTATTAAGAAATACATTTTTCAATATACAATGTATGCACTTATTTGTGTACATACATATTTTCTTAGACTACACACATACATACTAAAAGACTGCAGCCTCAATTATGAAATAAAATATATAGATACGTATGTACGGATAATTTGTTTAGAATGTGTATTTGGTAATTTGTGTTTGGTATTATGAAATAAAATAATAAGTTTAATTTCGTTTAAAATATTTGGTAATTGTCATTTGACGTAAGCCACTTTTTCTCTTTATTGCTGCTATATCACGAATTCGTTTGAGCTGTAGTAAACTCACAGTATCACTCTCTGTTTGTTTTTGAAACCACTTGAGAGCCGTTTCCAGGGCCTGAAGTGCTTCATCATGTGATGGTCCTGCATCATTTTCCATGTCTATATTTTCTTCTGTTTGATCTTCTTGCATTTCCTGCTGTTCATTTATCTGCAATATGTTTTCTACGATTTTGTCATCCGACATAATCTGAAAGCCTTGATCATTACTGTCACAAGTGATCCACTCTTTCATATCATCTTCATCATAATCCTGGCATATTTGTATTTTTAACATTAGCTCATTTATATCCTCCAAAATAGAATCATCCGTATTGGTTATTAAATTTTCATTCTCCCGATTAAGTACTCTGTTCCAAGCCTTGTTTAAAGTTTTCTTTTCAATTAAATCCCACGCATCTACAGCCATGTAACAACACTCATCATTTCTTTGAAAAATGATAAAACGACTTCTACATTATCTTCATCAACAGATAACAACCTGCGTAAAAGTTGTTTTCTATAAAGTCGTTTTAATGTTTCAATAATACTTTGATCCATTGGTTGCAGCAAGGATGTCACATTAGGAGCCAAAAATTTTACTTTAAACTTTCCATTCTCTCTTTCCAACAGTTTAGCCGAAGGATACGTTGACGCGTTATCCGGTAAAAGTAATACATTTCCTTGTTTGCCAATTTCGTTTTGTCTTTTTTTTTACTTCAGGGATAAAAGTGTTGTCATACCAATCAATGAATATTTCAGAGTTCATCCATGCGCTTTTTTGATTTTTATAAATTAAGGGCACCCTGATATTTTAAAACATCTAGGTTTTTTTGATTTTCCGATGAGGAGCAAAGGTATTTTATGGGTCCCGGTAGCGTTAGCGCAAACTAATATTGTTACTCGTTCTTTGCTAGTTTTATATCCCGGAGCTGAATTCTCTCGCCTAAAGATTTTGAAGGTAATGATTTCCAGTTTAATCCGGTTTCATCAGCATTATAAACGAAATCCAAGTCATAGTTATTTTCATCCAATTTCTTCTTAAAATCATCTTTAAAGGAGTTTGCTGCGTCTACATTAGCTGACATTTTTTCACCTTGTATTTCTAATTCACGAATTCCATGACGAGATTTAAATCTATATAACCATCCGTTACTTGCGACAAACGAGCCGCTGCCTCCTAATTTTTTATTTAACTGTAATGCTTTTTCACAGAGCAAAGGGCCAGATATCGGTTGCCCACTTGATCGTTTTTGTAAAAACCAACAATACAAAGCGTTTCTAAAAGTTCATTTTTCGGCTTCTTCATCATTTTCCGATGTTTACTCCCGTCTTCACTATCTAATTTGCAAGTGTACAACAAAATTGAATCAGAATTTTTCTTAATATCACTTATTGTGCATGTACCTACATACTTATCAGCTAACTTACGACCAGTTTCTCCTTTTTTTAATGAATCAATAATATTTATTTTGTCTTTAAGCGATAACACCACTCTCTTACGCTTTGACATTTTTAAATATTTAGACTAGACACGCACGTCAGAGCGGAGTAACAATTGCTAGCTAACTAAGACAATAACAACAGTTTTGTTATTGTTTTAGTTATTGTTGTTACGAAACGCGATCTCGCAGGGCGCGGTCGGGGTAATGCCGGTACCGACACGTTCATGCTTGCATAAATTCGATATGTAGTACATATGTTAAACACTTTGTAACTTGGCTCAATATGACTTAATTATTTAATTGGTCGCGGTTGATAGTTCGGATAATCGCGAATCCGTATAACTGAGGGCCGGATAATCGAGTTTCTACTGTACAATGCGTGCGCAACTTCTGCCGCATAATATGCATATTAAAATATTCCTGTCAACTGGCGTAAAAAAGGTTTAAGTTCTAAAACATTTACTTTTGAAAAATTCTTTAAAGCCAAATTATAAATATATTGCAATCATCTAAAACAGAAAACAACTCTCAGATAATATTACAATATATATATATATATATATATATATATATATATATATATATATATATATATATATATATATATATATATATATATATAACGTTTTAAAATCCATCTTACAAGCTTCAAGTTTATGCTACAAATTACACGTGTTGACACTGTGCTCGAGCCATATAAGCTATTTTTTGTGCCCTTTGGACAACCTCAGGGCAACGTTTACGACGGACCATTCTACAGTCTTGAAAGAAACCTTCATTTTTTGGGAAGCCGTTGCTGCCATCGCTGTATGTTACTAACCCTGAAAACTCATATAATATTAATATTATAATCATCAGCAGGAATTGGTAGAAGTTGGAAACTAATTTTTATAATATTATAAGCTAACGCACTGCATCTGATGGTAAGCTTCTGAAACCCAAATGGGTTCATGGTACCCACTTCATAAACAAATGGTACAACAAAAATAGTAACTACGTACTGCTACTACTTTAGTTTTTTTTTTTAAAGAATTAAGGGTCACCAACAAGCTCATAGTACACCTGATAGCGAGGGTGACCATATATTATAAATTATAACTACTCATTTTGCAAATAAACTATATTTTAATTTATAATGCAGTTTAGTTGCAAAAAAATTAAGGTGCGTGTGTGTGAATGAAAAATGTGATGAGAGAGTGAGGGCAATGTAGAAGTAATCAAGTAAACGATTTATTTTCTCCAAAAACTTGAGCGTGCGCCCCTTTTTGACCTTGCACCCCTAGTCATATGCCTAGTTTGCCTTTAGGATAATCCACCACTGCACAAGGCCACCGCTGAATATTGAGGTATTCCTTGATCTCCCTACAGGAATGCCACAAAGAAGAGACCACCATGACTTCGTCTTCTGTCTTTTCCATGGTGGTGATTTCCTTCTGAGCCGTGTCTACATGCTGTTTCCGTGAGTCAAAACAAATCTTCTAGCACGTAGACTCAATGACTTACGGCCTCCCGAAAAAGCTGGTTTTCGAAAGGCTTTAGCACCATAGACAACACACACACACACACACACACACACACACACACACACACACACACACACACACACACACACACAACACACACCCTTCGGTAAATTTTATAGAAGACCGAAGAGTTAAATCAGCTAATTTATCTTGCGTAAATTATGAGAAAGCATTTGATTACGTCAAAATTCGGGCAATATTACAGTCCCTTTAGCGGAGCCAATTTGAGTGTCGGAAAATCGAAGTCCTGACTACGATGGTTATCCGAGTACAGAACTAGAGTACGAAATCTATCCAACTGCAGAGAGGTGTAAGACAGGGTGACGTTATATCCCCGAAACTCTTTACCGTTGTATTGGAATACGTTTTCATGCCACTGGTGGTTATATAGTCTTTGCCACTGGACTATCCACTGCGCCCTCCTTTCTGCCAAGGAGGGTCGCGTTCGTATACGGCTTAGAGATCTCTAGTCAGATCGTTAAGCCATTTCCTAAAAGGCGGTGTTTAGTGGGTAAAAGTCTCCACATAACCACGCAGCCGGCTGCGTTGTATGCTATGAGCATTCACCGCCTCCCTCCCCCCGCTTTCCGGAGGGTTGCCCATATTTGCTTCGGGCGCAAAAAAAAGACTATCCAGTAACCAGTGGACACTGTATTAACGTCAGTGGTGGGTAAATCTCTCACCTTCGATTTTCCGTCGATATAGTCCTTATGGCAGAATCGCTGGAAGACCTAAGCATTATGCTCAATGATCTCAATAGTGTCTCCCAACGGATAGGTCTTAAGATGAACATGGACAAAACAAAGATCATCTGTAACGTCACACCTATGCCAGTAGTTGTTGGGAGCACTAAGCTTGAAGTTGTTGACTAGTATGTTTACCTAGGACGAATAGTCTTACTAGGTATGTCCAACTTCGACGGGGAGATTGTATAACCAGTACGTGTTGCCAGTGATGACTTATGGATCTGTGACATGGTCCTTCACTGCTGGCCGCATGAGGAAGCTCAAAGTCGCTTAGCGAGCTATGAATAGGGATATCATAGGGCTTTCTCTGTGTTATAAAACTGAGTATAGGATTAGTAATAAGCTGAAGTGGTAATGGGCTGGCCATATAGCTTGAAGAACCGAAAACCGATTGGAAAAAAGGTTCTCAAGTAGCAGCTTGGTACCAGTAGGCGAAGTGTAGGGCGGCACTACAGTATATGGAGTGACAACCTGTTAAGTCACGCAGGATGTCAATGGATGCAGGTGGCTCAGGACCGTGTTGTTTGGCATTCTTCGGAGGAGGCCAATGCTTAGTAGTGGGCTTGTGAAGGGCTGCAATGATGATGGTAACGAATAGCGGATGTTATGGCCCATAGCCAACAAAACAAAAAAGCGACAGTAGCCTAATGGCAGGGCGCGGACCGCGAACTCAAAAAGGTCGTGGGTTCGAATCCACCATTCGACTACTGGCGTGAACCACTCGTAACACAAGCAATTTAAGCTTAACACGAGTGGTAAAGGGGAATATTAGTAATGTTTATAGCATTGTTGATATTCTTTATTTAAAAAAAAAATAAAAAAAATAGCGATCGATATCCATCCTCGATTAAGAATCAAAACGTAGATGCGTTGTCACTCCTGAGAACTGAGAGTAAGATCGAATGCCTTGTTATTAAAAGAGCAATCTTTGAGAGCCTGGCCCTTTCCCGGCTATTCCGACGCATTCATGCTACAACCACAAAATGGCTGTAGTGTGGCTCTATCACGTGCATATATAATATAACTAGCCATGCTCACCAAATGGAAAAAGTAGTATGTCGGTAATACAACATGCGATTCAACTTCTGATCTCGAAAATACAACGGAAAGGTTACTTGTTAAAAATGGTAAAAGTGTGAGAGCGGATGTTTAATTTATTCTCTTGCTTAACCAACTAATCATTAAAGTACAGACAGACTTGCTTATTACTAGCACGAAAGCATGTTTTTATTGAGATAGTGCTCATTAGTAGCACGTGGATCGCAACATTGTTAGTAATGAGCATGCTCAAAAATCAACCGACGTTTGATTTTCGAAATAACTGATGTCAGTTATTTCGTAATTTTATATATATATATATATATATATATATATATATATATATATATATATATATATATATATATATATATATATATAATTACGAAATACTGAAAAAATAACGTTAGAATTTTCAATATTTTTATTTATTTAAATATCAAAACATACAAATGTATGTTATTTATTTATTTAGTTTATAAGTAACTAAAGGCAAATATAAGCGCAAAGTTTAGTGTAGGTGCCGAGCGCTTGATATCCGGCTTATGTCATTCGACGTAGTAGTAGTGCTAAGATAGTATCGTGGTTCTGTCCGTTGTAGTGGTCCTCTGGTGCAAGCGAGGAAGATGGTGTCGCTGAGAGGCTGCTCTGGGTTACACTGAGATGGGTTGTGTTGCT